CCAGGCTGTTTTGACTACTGTGGCGGTATAATAGATTCCAAAATTAGGTAGTGTGAGGCTTCCCACTTTGTTCTTCTTCTTGAGTAATGCTTTATTTATTTGAGGCCTCTTCCCTTTCCATATGAAGTTGGTAATTTGTTTCTCCATCTCACTAAAAAATGCCGGTGGAACTTGGATCAGGATTGCATTGTATCTGTAGATTGCTTTGGGTAGAATTCATATTTTCACAATGTTGAGTCTTCCTATCCATGAGCAAGGTATGTTTTTCCACTTCACAGGTCTATTTTGGTTCCTTGCAGTAGTGTCCTCTAGTTTTCATAGTATAGATCTTTCACGTCTCTGGTTAGATTTATTCCTAAGTATTTTATCTTCTTGGGGACTATTGTAAATGGTATTCATTTGGTGATTGCCTCTTTGAGGTTCTCTTTGTTGGTGTAAAGGAATCCAACTGATTTTTGTATGTTTATCTTGTATCCTGAAACTTTGGTGAAATCTTCTCTTAGTTCCAGCAGTTTTCTTGTGGATTCTTTGAAGTTTTCTGTGTATAAGATCGTATCATCTGCAAATAGAGATACTTTGAGTTCTTCCCTACCAGTTTGGATGTCCTTTATTTCTTTTTCTAGCCTAATTGCTCTGGCTAGGACCTCCAGCACAGTGTTGAATAAGAGTGGTGATAAAGGACATCCTTTTCTGGTTCCCATTCTCAAGAGGAATGCTTTCAGAGTCTCTCCATTTAGGATAATGTTGGCTATTGGCTATGTATATTGACGAATTTCCCTTCTATTCCTATTTTGTTGAGAGTATTTATCATGAATGGATGTTGAACTTTGTCAGATGCCTTCTCTGCATCGATCGATAAGATCACGTGTTTCTTGTCTTTTGTTTTATTTATGTGATGGATTACATTGATTGCTTTTCTAATGTTGAACCATCCCTTCATACCTGGTATAAATCCCACTTGATAATGGTGAATTATTTTTTTGATATGTTGCTGAATTATATTGGCTAGAATTTTGTTGAGAATTTTTGCATCAATCTTCCTGAGGAATATTGGTCTGTATATATATTTTTTTTTTGTGATATCTTTACCTGGTTTTGGTATCAGGGTCAAGCTGGCGTCATAGAATGAGTTTGGGAGTGTTCCTTCCTTTTCTGTGCTCTGAAATACCTTTAGTAGTAGTGGTGTTAACTCTTCTCTGAAAGTTTGGTAGAATTCTCCAGTGAAGCCATCCTGGCCTGGGCTTTTTTTGGTTG